CTGGGAAGAAGGAAGAGACCAGAGAGAGTAAAAGGGTGGTGTTCTCAGTACTGTGACGATAAGATATCCAAGAACTAAAAATGGGTTCACTTAGTAAACTCGTGAGCATGGAAAGCCACAGACACATTATAATTTCAGAGGTTCTTGAAAGGCCTGCTATTCCCTACTTCCCTACTCTAGACTAGGCCCTTAAAGTCCAAGTCTAGTTTATTATTTTATCTCAAGATTTTTATTTCTGTTAAATTGTAAATTTCTTTGTAATTTTCCATTGATTATACTCAAGATGAAATTTTTTGTCAGATCTTTTGATAAGAATAACTAGACCAGTGTTTTTCTACTTTTTTCTGCCTCTAGACTACTCACATGGGAAACATCACCATTATTTATTTATTTCTCATGACACACAATTACTTTGAGTCGGACTGTCGTATGCTGTGGAAGGTTTCTTTTTCTTTTTTTTTAATGTTTTATTTATTTATTCATGAAAGTCAGAGAGAGAGAGAGAGAGGCAGAGGCAGAGGCAGAAGCAGGCTCCCCGCCTAGCAGGGAGCCCGATGCGGGACTCGATCCCAGAACCCTGGGATCATGACCTGAGCCGAACACAGACTCTTAACCATCTGAGCGACCCAGGCACCCCTGTGGAAGGTTTCTTACTAGAATCTGAATGTGTATAGTTTGCAAAAGCCACTGTTGTTTTTTTTTTAAAGCCGTTTCTGATGCCCCCTCTCAGACATCTGCCCAGACCACTCTACAGACTGGATCACCATGTAGACCAAGAGTTTCTTGAAGGCAGGGATTCTCTATAAATCCCCAACATCAAGCACAGTCCTTGGCCCACAGGATGTCCTTCATGAATATTTGTCAAAAACACAGATATTGATGGAGGAAGAGAGCAAGAAGATATTAGAGACCTGGATGTTGGGATGAAACAACTAGTAAGAAGGGGAAAGGTTAACTACTTCCCAGTGTGTCAAAGGCTAGCTTGTGGGGACACAGCATATATAAAAAATAATAACATCTAACTCTTATCAGTTTATTACGTGCCTGCACTGTTCTAAGCAATGTATATGCATTATCTCATTTAATGCTCACAGCAATCCTAGAAGGTACTATTATTATTCCATTTTATAAATGTGGAGACTGAGGTTCAGAGAGGTAAGGTAGCTTGCCCACAGACACACAGCTGAGAAATGGTAGCACATGGTCTCAAACCCAAGCAATCTGAATCCAGACCCATAGTGCCATAGTCATCCAAGAACTGAAGCATCTGGATACTGAACACGGCATCAGATCCTCTTCATGGCTTTTCCTTCCCCTTCCCCACATGACCCCCACCCCCATTTGGACATTTCCCCAAATGTTTCCAGACAGAACTGAAGCCCTGCATCACTCCCTTTTTCCAAACTCAACCGCATCTTCAGAAGTATGAGATCCTCCCACCTACCCTCTCCCAGGAACCCCCTCACCATGCCAGCGTTGGAGACTGGAAGAATGGTTTCATTAGCAACACTCAGGGAGATGCTCCACCTTTGAGGAACACCCCCTGAGATCCACTCCCCCCGCCACGCCACAGCAATCTAAGCACCCCTCACAGCCTCCTCCAGAGAGCTCCCTTTCAGAATCCCGCAGCCCAGGGCTCCGTTCTTCCTAAACCCACCCAAGCCTCCTTGTTGTCTCTTGCTTACATGTCCCATCCCCAAGGGCCCCAGTCTGTCACCATGCTGAGCTCTCACCCACTGAACTCAAACGGGTGCTTTGTGTCTCCCAGCACCTTTCTGTAGTTTTCCATTATGTGAACTGATGAGGGGGCCTAAGATCAGGGGTCCCAAGATGACCAACCTTTTCCACCCTCAGTAAAGCACTTGGTAGAGGCTGAACTTCTGAGCACCAGGCCTGATTTCCATGGTGACACCCCTAGGGATTGTTGCCATGGTAATGCTGGAGAGACACTGGCCACGGTGAACATTACCTCCCCTCTCCATTTTCTTTTATGAGACTCACCCAAAGCTAAAGGGAGACCTGCTCCCCCTCCTCAGATATCAAAGGAATCCTGGGCCACCCCAAACAATATTGACTCTGATCCAGTAATCCTGCAGGTCCCAACCTAGCTTTTCCAAATGAGGTACTGGATAGTCCTGGATTTTTGCTGGTTAAGAACCTGCTAACCCACTAGGAGATCTGAGGGAGAAAGAATATAATGGACACTGAATGAATGAGGGAGAGGAACAGGGAGAGAGGAACAGAATGTACGGGTCTTCCCTCACTGTCATCCCTCCCATGTCTGGTGTAGAGGCAGCGGCCCTGACAGCAGGCACCCGGACACTCTGCCCACCAAGACCAGGGCCGAGAGACACTTAAATGTATCCAGTGAAAAAGTCACATTGGATTCCGAGTGACATAAAGAACAAAACAAGGTACACAGCCCACAGACAGTGACCCAGACACCCTTCTACTATGACTCAGGCCATTAACTTTGGCTAAGCCCCATCCTCCAGATTCCTGGGGGAAGTCAGGGGCATGGGGGAGGGATGAGGCTGAAAGAGCTGTCTTTCCAGCTTATTCTCCTACCCTCTGCCAGGCAGAAAAAGCCCACGAGCATCTGAGACTCTGAAGCCCTGAGGTAGCCGCAGTGCCGCAGAGGCAGAGAGGAGAGCCACCAGAGAAAGGAGCAGGGGCTGGGTTTGGAGAGACTATTGTCTCCCCCTTCCCTCACCTTCCTGAAACAGCTTCCTCCACTAATTCCTCAGATGCTGGGCCCCAAAGGGAGTGAGAGGAGGAAAGAGGAGAGGGGGTAGGAGATTTCCTTCCCTTGGTGGGACCCTTGAGGGTTGCGTCCAAATCCCTTTTCCTAGAGCCCTCCTCCTTCCAAATGAGCAATGAACAGTCAGGCTGGGAGGCAAGCTCCAAGGACGCTGCCTGAGACAAAATGGCCCCCCATAAGCCTCTATCTCAGCTGGAGAGATTAACAGGAAGGGCTGGGGCAAAGGAAGATACACAGTGAGACAAAGGTACAGCCCTGCAAATATCAGGCAAGACAGGCAAGGGAGGACCAGCTGTGGAACTAAGATAGAATCTGAATTGGCAGGGGGCCCTGGGCCTCTCTGCCTCTCTCCCCCTTCTACAGTGTCTTTCCTGTTTTGCGAATTCGACAGATCAGTACAGCCACTCCTTCGCCCAACATCAGCCCATGCCACATGCCTGCCACACTAGGATGGCCCGAGAACCTAAAGGAGTTTGTTCAGACTTACCTGAAAGAACTAAACCAAGGAAGCTAGGCTTCAAAGTAGAAGCCTTTGTGGATGTGCACCCCTAAGACCACCTCCCTCCTATTTCTCAGCCTTCATGTCTCAGGGAAACCTCAAGCTCCAACTCTCACAGCTAATGCCTGTTGTCCAGACTACTTGGAGAGGAGCCCCCAGGACCGATTATTTCAGCCTGGCCACACTGACCAGACTGTAAGGCCTAAGGTCCTTGAGGCCAAGAGAGACAGGGGCCCTCTCGATGTGGTGAACATACACATATGTAAGCACACACACAAGGCAGAAGCCCCTATTTGAGTTCAGTGGGTGAGAGCTCAGCATGGTGACAGACTGGGGCCCCTGGGGATGGGACATGTAAGCAGGCTCTTCCTAAGGCATGTTTACTCAAAGTCCCATTCTCATTGATTCAGAGGGCCCACGCTCCCTCCCCATCTTTCCTTCATTCGTTTAATAAGCATGCCTTGGGCCAAGCACTGTGGACCAAAGATACATAAACAGTGCCCCTGACCTTGAGGACAGCCGTCATATGTGCCCCTCCCGTCTCAGATTGGCTACAGTTTCCTGGCCCAGCACCCCTCAAGCCCTACAGGACTCGATCCCAGATCCTTTCACCCCATAGCCTAACACTCCCTACCAACATGGGAAAGGAGGGGTGGGTGAAGAATTCCCTAGGAATTCCCTTTGGGCCATCACAGATAAAGGTCGAGAAGAGAAATCTGCAGAGGCAGTGTGATATAGAGGAAAAGCCATGAGCTTTGGAGTTAGAGATTTAGGTTCAGATCCATGAATTAACAGGGTGACCTTGAGAAAGTCATTCAACTTCTTTAGGCCTCAATTTCCTCATCTGTAAAATGGAAATATTGGTACCTACTTCAGAGTGTTGTTTTGAGGAGTAAATAATACATGTTGAGTAACAAACCCATAGTAAATATTAGTTCTCCTTCTTAATAAGATCTCCTCCATGGGTAGAGCTGTCATGATGAGGTAGAAACAGCTTGCTACTTTTTACTGGATCATCAAAAGAAAGGATGAATAAGCAAGTACCTATTAAGACCTCAGGATCTGGTTATTTTTATTTGTTAGTGGGAACTGGGGTGTCTGAAATCCTCTTCCTACCGTACCTGGGAGGGAAAGGCAGACATTTCCTTAGGACCCCAGAGCCCCCTTCCCAAACTGGGTGTGGCATCAATGTATTTCTTTCTCAGAAAACCCTTCATCAGACCTGTGCCCTCCGCCCAAGTCTAGGCTGTAACTACTTCAGGGGCTGAGGGAGGGCTTGGTCGTAGAGCCCACTCTCATTCATACCTCCACCCGCAGAGACCCTGGACTGCCCACCTCCCATCTAGCCCATCCACTAGTCTACCCCCTCCCTTCCTGGGAGGTGGGGGTAGAGATCTGAGCCAATAACAAAGGGAAGATGCGCTTTCCCTAGGGGAGAGGGAAAACATCAGAAAAACACGGGACTGGCTCTAAGGGGTGGGGACGCTGCAGCGAGCAGCGTTGGGTCCCCTGACTGCGAGGAAGTAGCCCCCTCCCACTCTGCGGAGACCTGGCAGCCCGCTTGGCCAGGCCACACCCAGCCATCCTGATGCAGGGGAGGGGAGCGGCTGCGGCGGGGAGGATGGAGGCTGAGGGGCGGGGAGGGGGCGCAGAGTGACAGCCAGGGGCGAAGACGGCGGGGGCGGGGGAGATTCATCTTGCGGACCCCTCCCCGAAATTCCCTCCCGCGGCGACACTCACCCCAATAACGACGCTGTCGTCCCCTTGGAAAATGGGGATGAACTTGTCTCCCCGCAGAATCTCGGCCTGGTTCAGGGGCCGAAATCGGCAGAGCACCTTGATGCTACATTCGTTGTTGGTCTCCGCCATGGTGGTCGCCGGCGACGGGCTGGGCACTTCTCGGGCTGCAGGGGAGGTGTGCGCTCCGGAGGGGTGCTCAGCTGGGGCCGAGGCGGAGGACAGGTGCTCGGTCTCTGGAGCCGAGAAAGCAGGTGGGGCGCCCGGGCGAAGGCTGGAGAGCAGGGCCGGGGCGCGCTTGCTCGCTCCTGCGGCACGGGGATGCGGGCGACCTGGGCGTCTGGTCCTCTCCCGGCGCTCTGCCTCTCCGCCCCTCGCGCTGCAGCGCCGCGCTGCGGGCCTGGGCGGGGCGGCGGCCGCGGGGAGGGCGGGGCTTCCTTCGCGGGGGGCCTCCGGCTGGGCGTCCACTCGAGGGGGCACCTTTCCGCTCCTCTCGCCTCCTACCCCACCCCTGACGCTCCTAGGTAACCTCGCCCTCACCCCTTCCCCACCCAAGTCCCTCGCCGCATCCCACCGCCCCACCTCCCCGGCCTGCCTGTCCCTCCCTCGGACTCCACCCCTCTGGAAGGGATAAGGGGGCTGAGGTGGGCCTGTCGCCGGGGTAGGGAAGAGAGTCGACGGCGGTTCCACCCCTTTTATTCCGGGACACCCTCCTCCCCCACCCCCGCCCCGCCCCTGTCACCATCCTCTCCAAACTGAGAGCACACTTCTCATTTCCCATCCCCAACCCCCTCACACAGATTCCCAAACCCACTCAACTTTCAAGGGCGGCTGCCGGTACCCCTGTGGGGGTGGGTGTCCAGGTTCCATTTTTCAGACAGCAGTGTCAGGGGAGAGGCTAGTGCCTTCCGCTTCTACATCCAAAGGTGCGCTCTCTCCCCAGTATACACACCAGGTCCCCAATGTGAAGGAAGGCAAACTCTGATTCTGGGCTATCAGAATTCAGAAACGGATAAAATTCTCATTTTTGCCTCATAGGTTGGGGCTGGGATGCAGGTGGGCAGGAGAAGCTTTTGCAAGAGAAAGGGAGTCAGAAAACAGTGAAGGGGGAGTAATGATGGGGATGGGGAAGGCCACAGGGGCTTTGAGAGAGAACCAATAGGGCAGACATCTGCATTTAGGTTTCAGACAGGTTTCAGCGCCTACGTAAGTGTTTCCTGTCCAAGTTACCATTGGACAGAGTCCCAACACCCCAGCCCCTTTCTCGGGGCTTGCTTTGTCTCTCCCCCTTCCCTAGCAAAAAAAAAAAAAAAACCAAAAAAAAAAAAAAAAAAGCCAGGCCTGAGAGATTCTTTGTCCTTCCTCCCCTCAGGTCAGACTCCTGCTGCAGCCCCTGGGCAGAACCACCTAGAAGCGGGCCAAATTGATTTTTCTCCACATCACAGGCCTCTGCTGGCCAACAGAGAGTTACACTGCAGGAGTTGAGGCTCTAGGCCAAGGGAAGGAGCATGGTGATGGAAAAAGGGAGGAGGGGATGGAGGTTCTGCTTAGCAATTGTCTAAGGTCACTTGGACACTATGAGGCAAGAATGAGAGAATGATGGCCTGGCCAGACAAGAAGTAACCACTCAGAACTCAGATGATGGCTTCCGCACATTGGGCCTATACCTCTCACCCACCTTGAGTCTTAAGGAAACTGAAGGAAATTGGTCCAACATAAGAAACTGGATGGGAAGGCAGTAGGACTCTGTAGAAAGAGGGGTAGAAGGGCGCCTGGGTGGCTCAGTTGTTAAGCATCTGCCTTCAGCTCGGGTCATGATCCCAGGGTCCTGGGATCGAGCCCCGCATCGGGCCCCCTGCTCCACGGGAAGCTTGCTTCTCCCTCTCCCACTCCCCCTGCTTGTGTTCCCTCTCTTGCTGTGTCTCTCTCTGTCAAATAAATTAAATCTTAAAAAAAAAAAAGAAAGAAAGAAAGAAAAGAAAAAGAAAGAAAGAGGGGTAGAGGTTTGGGGAGGAGCCAGGAGAGTATGCATAGAATGACAATGAGTTCCAAACTCCGGAACACAAGCATCTCTCCAGTCACTTGGTCTGGCACTATTTCTAAATGTTGCAGCATCCTGCAAGCTCAGGAAACATTATGGAAAACATCCCAAACTCAGGCCCCTAGGGGCTCCAGGGTGGCAGCCTTAATGGAGTTTCAAAAAATGTTTGTCTAAAAAAAAAGCTTGTCTATGGAGGGTCAGGAAAAAAGTTTACCGGGTATGCCCCCCCCCCAAAAAAAACACCCACACACAATGCGTCAAGTTTTTCATAAAGCTAGATTTATTAAGTTTCAAAGGACTGTCTTTCATTCTTGAGAGTATGTCCTTCCTACTTTTCTAGTAAGAAATGATGGCTATAGTAAACAGTAGGCTTTCTTTTTCTAACGCACTTAGTTGACAATTAAAAGGTAGCAGTACTATGTCCATCCTCAGAAAGGGTTGCTGTTGTTCTATTTTTTAAAAGATTTTATTTATTTGAGAGAGAAAGCATGAGCAAGGGGAGGGGCAGAGGGAGAAGCAGGCAGGGAGCCCGGAGACCCATGTGCGGCTAGATCCCAGAGTCCTGGGATCAAGACCTGAGCTGAAGGCAGGCGCCCCAGGGTTGCTGTTGTTTTAATTTTATTGAACTGTGAAATTCAGAAGTCTGAAAACTATTAGTGAAGTGGTTAAGAGCACAGAGGTTGTTCCGACAGACATACAGCCACCACTTACCTATTTATGAGCTTGAAATAAGATTCCAGATTTGAAAAACAAAAACAGGATGTCCCGTTAAATTTGAATTTCAGATAAAAAACTAATAATGTGTGTGTGTGTGTGTGCGTCTTAGTATGTCCCAAATATGATATGGGGCATACTTACACTAAAAAAACAAAAACTATTAGTTGTTTATCTGAAATTCAAATTTAACTAGGTGTCCTGTACTTTATCTGATAGCTCTAACTCGAGAAGATTACTTAATGTTTTCATTCCTAACATGACTAAGCCCTTACTAAATTTTACTTACTATTATTGTTTTTGAAGTCCTTTCTGTGCCACAGCATGACAGGATGTTATTTTTATCTAGTCACTTAATTTCTGGAAGCCCAAACGTATTCATCTGAAAAACAGGAATTGTAAAATATTTTTTCATAGACTTGGTGTAAAAATGAAATAAAATAAGTTGTGTGAAATAACTCCCAAGGCGCGTTATTGTCGTTCTCCGTCCAAGCCCGAGTGGTCCAAGACTACACATCCCACAATCCCAGGCGGCGTCCCCCCGCCATTACCTCATTCCCTGGCCGTATTCTCGCCAATCCCGGCCTCTCCAGGGGTGTGGTAGCGGGCTGTTCTCGCGATTTTTGCCTTACCCTTCTCTCTTCTGTACGATTCCTGTCGCGAGACTTCCTGCTCCTCCACCTCCTCCGCCGCTCCCTTTGCCGCCGCCTTAGCCCGGGACCCGGACCCAGCCTCTCCCCTACCCGAACACCGGCCCCGGCTCCACCGAGGCCACGGTCCCCCAACCCCGCCTCGCCGCCGCCATGGCGGACCCTAAATACGCCGACCTTCCCGGCATTGTGAGTACAGGGCCAACCCCGGCTCCCCAGGACCGCACCCCCGACCTACTAAGGACCCCCAACAGACACTAACCCGTGACCCCTCCCGCCTGCAGCCCTTCCTCCGCCCCAGGGCTCCAGCCTCTGGCACCCCGGCGGGCCACAGCACCCTCCGAACTCTTCCGACCCGGCTTGGCCCGGCCGCGGAATGGCTTAGCAGGCCCCTTTTCCGGCAGTGGCCGGTTTCTCTGCCCAAAAATCGTCTCTGGGTGCTTACCACTTGTGCCCGAGTGTTTCTATCATCCATGTCAGCATCACCCGTGTCCCCCCAAATCTCCCCCCTAAGGCCCCTCCCCCCACCATCCCCACCCCAAACACATACCAGGCCACTTGGTGATGGCCTTCACCCTGCCAAAGAAAAGGTTACCGTGGCAGAACCCTTCTAGTGCCAAATAGAGAATTCTGCCCTCCGGGACCCCCCCCACGCCCCCCCCCCCGGCACATACCAGCCTCTACCCTCCTTTTGTGCTGCCCTGCCTGCATTCTCAAGGGTGGGGGTCGTGTCACAGGACCTTGGGTACTAAGGTCCTGAGTCACTCTCAACCTTTGTGCCAGGGTAGTGGTGTACAGGGCCTAATTCGAAGATAGCCCTCTCCTACTTTGGACATAATGATTGCCAAGAGCCTGCCCCCATTCATATTCAGGGTCACATCTTTGTCATCACTTACTTTCACCACTTACCGTGAGGTCCCAGTTATGCCTCCTGTCATCCCCACCCCTCTAAGACGTGGGAACTGACATACAGTTCAGTGGGCAGGTAGAAGAGAAGGGACAGAATCCTGGCCTCACAGCCTGCCTTCTCTCTTAGCTTATTCAAATGGAGTGGGTCCAGGAGTATTGGTGGATGCTGGGTAATGAGGTGGGGTGGTCACTGCTTCTGTCTGCAGGCCAGGAACGAGCCAGATGTTTATGAAACCAGCGACCTACCGGAGGATGATCAAGCCGAGTTTGATGCGGTAAGACTATGTGCTGCTTCAGGACTCTTATGGACCCTGACCTCTCTCCCCCAGGCAAACCCTTTCCCTTTTCTGGAAAGCCACAGCAATAAGCGGGTATGCCAACCCAGCCTGGGAGGTATGTAGGTTGCAGGCTTACAGCCACCAGTGAACAATGCCAGGACGGAGAGCCATGTTGGTGGAATCACAACTAACAAGACCTGATCCTTGGGTCTGTTAAATAAAAGTTGAAATATCTCAAAACAGTTTAGTTTGGGACTAGTGATTTAGGTAGGCCCCTGGGTGCTAGTCTATGGTAATGAATCATGAAGTCTGAGCACTTATAAACTACTTGAGGTTAGGGCGCCTGGGTGGCTCAGTTGGTTAAGCGACTGCCTTCGGCCGGGGTCATGATCCCGGAGTCCTGGGATTGAGTCCCACATCGGGCTCCCTGCTCGGCAGGGAATCTGTTTCTCCCTCTGACCCTACCCCCCCTCGTGCTCTCTCTCTCTCAAATAAATAAATAAAATCTTTAAAAAGTAAAAATAAACTACTTGAGGTTAGGAACTAGGCCTTTGATTTCATAAAATATTTCACTTGATACATGTTCATTAGTATCCTACCACGAGCTAGATTTTGAAGTGTAGAGGAATAGTCTTTTTCCTGAACACCTAGTATCCATTGAGCAAGGAGTGAGAAAATGATGTGATTTTAGAAAGATAAGGGATCTGGTCAGAGCAAAACAAATTTGAGGAAGAACATAAATATTTTCTATAGCATAGGAGAATCCCTTAGCACTTTCAGATCTAAGAAGAACTCTAAGGAAGAAATTAGCTGTGGACACGATTTAACCATGAGGGGAACCACTTAGCACTGTTTATTGAATGTATTTATTCTATGTTGGTTTTTGTGCAATGCAGACGAAGAAATGTCCCTGCCTTTAAGGATGCCCCAGACTAATGGTGGTGGAGTTAGGATACATATAGGATAGGAAACATGGAATAAACAAAATGGAGTGAATGGAAATCAACATAGTAAAAACTTGTATATAAGTACCAAAGGGAACAAAGGTCTATTAGCATTTTTTTAAGATTCTTTATTTATTTATTTGACAGAGACAGCGAGAGAAGCAATACAAGCAGGGGGAGTGGGAGAGGGAGAAGCAGGCTTCCCATTGAGCAGGGAGCCCAATGTGGGACTCGATCCCAGGACTCTGGGATCATGACCCGAGCTGAAGGCAGGCGCTTAACGACTGAGCCACCCAGGCGCCCCTCTATTAGCATTTTTTACAAGATGTGGTTTAGGTTCTTTTCCAAAGAGAGCTGGGCTAAAGTCACATTGATGAAGCAGGCTCCGTATGTTTGTCTGTAAGTCCTGTGGCTATATCTGTGGGGCTGGTTAGTCCTGGAGAATGCTGGCTGCTGGCTTCTAATGTATGGCTTGGCGTACTCACTTATTCCTTATTTGATTTCCCCCAGGTGGAAGTGGTTCCTACCTTGTGGGAACACCTTCCCTGTCTCCTCTCTCAGTGGTGTGTTCCTTGTGGCTTCTGTACTTGCTGGCATGTCACTCTGTCCCCCAAGCTTGAGTATCTGGAGATAACGCTGATGTCATTGCTCCAGGACCTGGGTGTGCACCTGTCACTCCAAGATGTATGTTATTAGGAAGCTGTCTTTGACCTCACAGAGCAGGAGTGTATAAGCTGAGGACTTCAGTCCTCTAACCCATTTCAGAGACTGTTCAACTCGGGCCTAGGCCTCTGCCTATAAAGTGTCACGGCTTCATGGTGAGATAATAAATGGAAGTTTGGCCATTTGTCACTGACTGTGATACGAATGGGCAGTATCACAGCAATCCCCTTTCCAAAACAAAGAATACATTGTAGTTTTCCTTTTGAAAGAACTGAGGTATTTCTTAAGAAGAAGATGACAGGCATGGAAGCACCTGAATGTGCAGCCCTAATGGGCTGTTTCTGCCCACTGAGCCTGAGCAGCCTATTTCAGTAGTACCTAGTGGGGTGGCTGATAGGGAGGGATACCAGAAGTACACATCTCCTGCAGCATACTGCCCAAGATGATGATATAGCAGTGCATAGAAGCTGGATGGTAATACAAGAAGAGTCGAGTTGCCTCCATCACCTAAGGCTCAGCTAAATGACTCTTCATCACTAGGCAGGAGTGAGTAGGATGGGGAGACCTTCAGTTGCTTCAGGAAGGGGGGGATGTGCTGAGATGCTTACTGATGTCAGCTAATGTCTCTGGCCTCTGGGTGTCCCTGTGGGCCTTAGGAGGGCAGCCTTCGGGAAGTCAGCTGGGTAACAGTTCTGTTACTGCTCTTAATATTGATGTAAATGTGCAACTGGAAGAGAAGTGGGTTGTACTTAGTCCAGAAACCTCATGTCTGTGAGGCCTGGATTCTCACCAGCAGCCTTTCTCTCACCTGCCTTCCCAAGACCTAGCACCGATGACAGTGCACATCACCAGTACTGTGGCTGAACCATGAGGTTGTCAGTCACCTTCTTAACCCCTGACAACAGAATGTTCTGCCTTAGTCTCCAGATTATTTTCAACTTTAATCGGATTCATTTTTAAAATAGATAATATATGCACATAGAACAAAAGTCTCTTCCCACCCCTGCCTGCCACCACTCAGGTCCCTTCCCTGAAGACAGCCAATATGACCAGCTTCTAATGGAACCTTTTGGGGGATCTCCAGGTTTTTATTTAAAGGAATAATCAAAGTGTGTTGACCCTCACTCTTTTAACCTCCTTCCTCTTACTGCTCCACTGTGGAAAAAATTGAGCTGCTGAAGGAAATAATGTCCTCTAATATCCTTTAAAGATTGTAATTGCTAGTTTAATTTAAACATAAAAGTATTGCAATTCCCATAGTGGAGAAGATGGGGGAGGAAAGTAGTATAAAAGGTTTTAGTTTTGCTAAAGATGATCCTGATTTTCCTACTGTTTCTTTAAAATGATTTTAGCAGGAAGTAAAATATTATAAAATAAATGGGCCAGACAGCTGCACAGGCTAGCCCTTTCCTCTTCAATGTAGGAGAATCTCGTCTCTGCATTTCAGATGCTCCTAGGTTGATTTGGACGATGGGCTTGTTTGGAGACTTTTTTTTTTTTTTAAGATTTTTTTATTTACTTATTTGACAGAGAGAGAGATGGCGAGAGAGGGAACACAAACAGGGGGAGTGGGAGAGGGAGAAGCAGGCTTCCCAGGGAGCAGGGAGCTCGATCCCAGGACCCTGGGATCATGACCTGAGCTGAAGGCAGACGCCTAACAACTGAGCCACCCAGGTGCCCCTGGAGACTTTTCTTAAAATGTCTCATCAGGAAAGCTAATTCCTGACTGGAATTTCCTCCCTGCTGGACTCACAGTCTACCTTGGGTCTGTGAGGCATTGTGCTCCTGGCTTTTGAACTGCTGGAACAAGGAGAGTAAATTCAGAAAATCTCACTAGAAACAGGATATAGTTTCTCCCTTGATGCCTTATCCATCTCCAATGCCATGGGAAAGGGGAAGAAATGACCTATAGCCACAGTTTGACAGGGTCCTGGCAGAGGCTTGTTCTCCAAAGGGAAGATACTGCTGGACACTCCACCAGCCTGAGATGAGAAACAGTACGTTCTCTTCCTTATAGTTTGAGATATCCTAGAGTTTGCTTGATTGTGTTCACTGACTGTTGGCGCTCTGGAACTTACCTGAGTTTTTCCTAATGCTTCCCCCATCCTCCCTCCTCACCACCTTGCCTGGACACTAGTTTGCACAAGTAAGACCATTCGATGCTTCTTCTCTGCATGTTTTTTTTTTCATCTGCCATCTCGCATGCAATGCTCTGTCACTGTACTATTGTTGTAGCTAATCATTTTAAATTCTATCGAGTCCCTAGCTGGGTCACTAAGGGGCCTGCTGGCCTTGTATTCAAAAGTCATTAATCAAGGTTTGGAAGTACAACTCTGATCCATGAATCATTGTCTCTTTCCCTTGTGAGGTCTGCAGAATAAGACTGTCCAGTGGAGGATGGAATAGAAACATGGAGGCTAGGACTGCTTTTGCATATGAGGCATTTAGGGGCTGGAGTTAGAAGGAGTTGGCTTTCTCCTCCTTAGACTGAAATGAAGTTAAGAGAAAAGCAGTAACTGTTAGCCATTCTAGACAAGGGTAGAGAACAAGGGGGATAGTCACAGTCCTCACTACTTAGCTATGTGTAGACTGTCTCTGGGGAAAACTCATTTTAATGTTCCCTGTGCTAAGCCTTTAGACAAAGGTAAATGGGATGGGAAAGGAGTGTTATATGTAAATTTAAGGTAATAACTTGGGTTATTTGTGCTTTCATGAGTCTTTCTGTTTCTGTACTCCTCCTTTAGAAATGGGTGGATGGTCAGCATTATGTTGATCCATCCTGGACAGTTTTATTCTACAGCACTCTCCAACTTCCTTGTCATCATGGTTCTGAAGTCCCTCTGGCTGCAGTGTTGGCAAAGAGCCTAAACAGGCTCAGAGAGCAGCAGTGGCCTCTTTCCCTGTCTGATCTAGAACCTCAGGTCTTGCCCTCTGAGGCACAGCCATTTAGCCAAACAGCCCTGGGGAGTCAGGGGGTCTACTAGTGAGAGGGACTGGGAGTCATGTACCAGGTAAGCTGGTACCTGAGATCAGGGCACTTAGAATTTTCCAATCAAGGTGGCTGAATGGACTGTTTCCGTGGTGACTGTTAAAACTCTAGGTTATAGGAATTATGCCTAAAAACTCATCATCCCACAGTGCACCCAAAGGACAGACCTGGAGGTCGTATATACTATTTACAGACTAATAGACCACTTTTCCTTTTCTTTGATTTTTCTCTCCTCCCCCATTCTGCTTGTTCCTCATGATTTGAACTTGAACTTAAAGCTCATTGTTCTCTCTCCTTGAGTTTCTCCCAAGCTGGTTTTAGCTTGGCGGGGCAAGTAAGAGAAAGGTAGTGTGTGTGTGCCTCCCCTTGTGTGTTTGCATGTGTGCATCTGTGAGTACTTATACTCCCTCTGTGCAGAGACATCCCACTGTAGACCACAGGGTCTGGATCTGCCTTGACCGTGAGCTGAAACAGGAGTCCTGGCTTAGCTGGACCCTGGCATCAGACAGGGGACGGAGAGGTTGAGGCTCAGGTGTGTCTAGCTGAACTCTCTGGGGCAGGAAGCACTTGTCTTTGTCCCACCACGCGTCTCATACATACATAACCATCTTCAACCTTCCACGATTCTACGTGCCCATCAGTAGAGCTCCTGGAGAGGCAGGGCATACAGCTAGATTTCCCCTCCTGGCAGTTCTTTACCCATCTTGCCTAGAAGGGAGAGCCTTATCTCTGTGGCTGGACTAAAAGAAGGCCTCTTTGAAGTTCTCTCACCTTTCCCCCTTGTCCACCTTCTAACCTGTGTGAATCTTGTGAGCAGAGGGTGGAAGAAACATTTTCTGCACATGGGCTGGTAGCTGTGAATCTTGGTGTCCTCTGGATTCTTTGTGCTCGCACATCCTGGCAGAATTGCTCTGGTTCCCTCGGTGCTGGGGGTGAGTTACCAACTAATCAAGATGGATACAAAAACACTGGCCTGTCCGAGGGGCAAGGACGTGCCCTGCCTCTCCTCTGGCAGCAGAGAATGAGAACGGGTACTTCACCATCTCCTGACATATTTTGTTCTGCTTAACCTAAAGTCATATCAAACCACCCATGCGGGCACCGTTATTGTGACCGATTCCGCCATCTAGATGTCTCATTCTTCAAGACTAGAGAAACCAAGAGACAGCGAGACTTGAACCATGAAGGCCCCCCTTGAGAGTTATGGACCCTCAGTCAGCTACATGTCCTTAGAATCCCCATAGCCTCTGCTTCACATTCTGCCTGTCTCCCCCTGCCCCCACTTTGCTGTTCCATGCCACTGGCTTGCAACATCTCACTAGTTCTCAGATAATCTTACATTGCTTCTAATGACAGAGCTTCATGACATTCTCACCACCAGAGAGGAAAGGGTCCCAAGTTCTTCTTTCTCTTGGGGTATGTAGTGACTCCAGCTGAAATTTCTTGGCCCCCAAATTTTGCTAGACTCCCCTGGGCCCTATGGTGCAGTGTGTTTGAAGCTATCATATAGTGCATGTGACAATTTGCTAATAACAATTTTGTCTTTTTTTTTCCCCTCCCTCACCCCCATTTCCCCACTCCCTTTCCTTTTAACTCTTTTGATTTTCTCACCTCTGGGGAAAACCACAAGGAGCTGGTAAGAAGCCTGACCTTTCATCTGCTTTTTAATGGGGTGTGCTGTGATGGGCAGTTGTTTCTCTGTCCTTTTGTCTCTGCTAAATCTTTAATCCCTCTATCCAGCCCCACCCCCAGCCGACAGCCTTTTCCCATCTTAGGAATCACTGTAATGACACTGTCCCCAGCCCATGCCCCCAGAATTCTGAGGCACTGATGGAGTGGGTGCCACTGGAGGACAGAAGGGTGCCGGCCATCTGGGTGTCTGGGGCCACATCCTTGGAGAGACTCTGAGGGGATGCCAGTGTCGGGCAGCTCTCCTGACCAAGGAGGTGGTCCTAAGTGGGAATAGTGAGATGAAAGCCCTGTTCATTCCTGTCACTGTCCAGGACCTCTGAGGCCCACACTCTGTATGTTGACCCTTTTCTACTCAATCAAACCCTTCCCTACTTAGGAAAGTATGTAGGAAAGTAGGTTCTCATCAGCATAGTGCCTGGCCCATAATGAGGGCTTAACAGATGGCAGCCATGATTAATTTCCTTCCTTGGTCTATAGACGGTGCTTCCCATTTGTCTTTTTAAGAGGATCTTTTAAAAATGGATTTCTACTTCATTGGCCTTGACGGGGGCAATCACAGGGAGGAGTGGCATACTCTTGATTGTGAACTTAGAAGGTGGTTGTCTCTCCTGGTCGGGAGTCCTTCTCAGACAGACACTTTGTAGAGGCCAGACGCCACACAGTTATTTGGCATGTGGGTGCTCTGGCCATACATTTCAGAGAAGATTAAAGAGATAATAATTTGGGGCTTAGTTGTCTCTTTGCCCTTGCATATAGGACGTTGAGCCCTTTTGTTTTCCCTTAATCTTTAGCTCTTGCCTCTCTGCTCAGCACTTCCCTGAAGAAGAGGTAAAGGTCAAAGTTGATGTTTTCTCCTTACTCCCTCCCTTCCCTATTTTTAAAGCTGCCACTCCACTGATTCCATCTCTGATAGCAGACCAGAGACGAAGGATGGAGCTTCTGCTGCTCTTCATGATGCCTCTCCATTATCATCCCCTACCACCCCCAATACCCACATGCAGGCAGAGACTCTCTGTCCAGTCCTGGCTCATGTTAGAATCAGCTGGGTAGCTTTTCAACTGGCCTACTATCCTGGCCCTACCCCAGAACGATAATGAAATCCCAGTCTACGGAGGAGAACCCAGGCCTCTTTTCCTCCTTTTTTTTTTTTAATTTTAATTTTTTTTTAATTTACATTTTGTAAGTGACGCAAATGCGCAGGCAGGGTTGAGAACTGTTGTTAAACGAAAGAAGACTCAGTTTGCCTGCCTCCTGTGGAAGTTGGAGCTGTTGTCCCCAAAAGCACAGGACCCCTGGGTCTCCTCCTCCTCCTTCAGGAATGTAGTGAGGGCTGTTGGACTGCTGACCAGGGAAGGAGACGTGTTAGTCCGAAGTGCCCGGTGTTGGTGTAGTTGTTGGAATCTGAACAGCCAGTCAGTATCTAGTAAGGAGGGAACCTCTCCGCTACCGTTTCTAGGGTGAACTCTCTTTATCACTTTCTTTGCCATGCTCCCTGCTAATGGGAGAGCTTCAGTGCTTGAGACAAGAACAGAGGGCTCAGAGAGAAGAGGCGGGTGCTGCAGCTTCTCTTTGAGAAGCTGCTGGGCTACCTCCATGTCAGGACGTAGGCGTGGCCCTCACCCGTGGGTCCTCTTGGCAAGCAGGTAGTACTTCTGTTATTGCTTTTAAGATGTCCCTTAAAAAATAATACAGTAATCTCTTGCCTCTTCTCTCTATACCCTGAACTCCCCAGCCTCATGGCAGCCTTGGACATAGGACTGCTGGTCAGGCCCTCTCCCAGCCTCGCTTTTATATCTCAGAGCTGGTATCTTCCCTTCAGCAGCATACTCACCCTCAGAGTTAGCAGCTGGACTGTCTGCCATCCTTCCTCTTTCCCCCCACCAAGTATGGGAGGTTAGCTTGAAATGTCCTTCCTCAGCAGCAAGGAAATCTACGTCTGGGAGGGGGAGGTTCAAAGAGGTCAGGCTGATTTCTTGCCCTGAGCGCATGGTGTGTGCCAGGTAACTGGGAGGGCCCCAGTGGGTGGGGTGGGGGGAGGGGGAGGCTTATGTACAGAGTGGGCGGGGAGGTTATGCTACCTCTGTTCCTTGAATCAGGGTGTTAATATTTATACAACTGACACTCCAAATTTACCAGGAAGCTTCCGTTTCCTAGGTTGAGCCTGGGTCAGCAGCTTGGAATGGAGCTGCCCTTCTCTTCCCTTGGAAACATAGGGCCCAGTCTCCTCTAGTGGCTTGGGGATTTTATGGGGTCATGGAAGTCTAGGGTGAGAATGAATCTGCCTCTGGCCTGAACTACCTATTCCTGCAGGAGGAGCTGACGAGCACAAGCGTGGAGCACATCATTGTCAATCCCAATGCTGCCTATGACAAGTTCAAAGACAAGAGAGTGGGGACAAAGGGACTTGGTGAGACTGGGCTGGAAACTGGTCGGGGGGGAGGCCTATCCTCAGACCGTAGTGACTTGCTTCGGGGAAAGGGTCCTTCATGGAGATCTTTCATGGTAGCCCTGACAGTCACCTGAGACCATGACTGCCCTGGGCCTCGATCAGGCCCTCAATTCCATCTTCTTTTCTTGGCAGATTTCTCAGATCGTATTGGAAAAACCAAGAGAACAGGATATGAATCTGGAGAATATGAGATGGTTTGTTGTGTGTGTGTTGATGGGAATGGTGCAGTGATCCTAGTTAGGAGGGACATCAAGGGATACAGTCAGGCTTCTGAGTTTTTCTCTCCTTGGGGGTCCTGAGAAACCCAGCAGGATACAATTGAGGATGCTTAGTCCCCGTGCTGTTTGCTCTGGAGAGTCTGCAGGCCTCCAGCTACCTCCAGTTTTTCTGTAACAGGGTGTTGTGGATTCCGAGTTGGACAGGAAGCCCTTACAACTTAGGCTCCGGGTTTGGATAAATTCTCGAGAAGGCTCCCTGTACCGAGAGGTGTAACTTCACTGTGTGTACTTGCTCTCTAGCTTGGAGAGGGCCTGGGAGTGAAGGAGACACCCCAGCAAAAGTACCAGCGACTATTGCATGAGGTCCAAGAGCTGACGACTGAAGTTGAGAAAATTAAGGTAACTGTAAACTCCCTTTTCCCCTTTGTGCCCTGACGTACATAGCAGAGGAGGACCTCATAGCAGGAGGAGAAAGGTTCCTGAGGCTCCTGGGTAAGAGAGCTGAAGTTCCTAGGTTTAGGAATATAAATAAATCTACATTCAGTGCCACAGGTGGGTAAGAACCGTCCAGTAACTTCCAGCCACAGACATTCTTAAGGGCCTTGATCCTTTTTCCTGGTATTTTTTTTTTTTTTTAAGATTTTATTTATTTGAGAGAGAAAGCACACGAGAGAGAGCTAGAGAGAGCATGAACAAGGGAAGGGGCAGAGGGAAAAGCAGACTCCCCACCAAGAAGGAAGCCGGACACGGGGCTCGATCCCAGGACCCTGGGATCATGACCTGAGCTGAAGGCAAACGCTTAACAACTGAGCCACCCAGGTGCCCCCTTTTTTCTGGTCCTGATTCCCCCTTGCCCACTCCTCATTGTCTGCTTCTTTTCATACCAGACAGCAGTGAAGGAGTCAGCCACTGAAGAGAAGCTGACCCCCGTGGTATTGGCTAAACAGTTGGCAGCCCTGAAGCAGCAGCTGTTTGCTTCCCACCTGGAGAAGCTGCTGGGACCAGATGCAGCCATCAACCTTACTGACCCTGATGGAGCTCTGGCTAAGTGGGTGCCCTGCTTTGTTGGGAAATCATTGCTGACTGGGGCATAGGGAGACTCAGCCAGGTACTGGCCAGGATACTAAGGGAAGAGGTAGCCTAGTTGTTCCTTAATGCTGAGTGTGAGGCAGAAATGAGAGAGTGGCTGGGCTGGCCCACACCCTTCCAGTCATGATCTTATTACTCGGTCTCCTGGCCCAGGCGCCTGCTGCTGCAGCTGGAAGCAACCAAAAACAGCAAGGGAACTGGTTCAGGGGGAAAGACCACCGGCGGGACTCCCGTAGATAGTAGCCTTGTCACTTACGAACTACATTCTCGGCCTGAACAGGACAAGTTCTCTCAAGCTGCCAAAGTAAGTACATATGTAGGTTGGTTGGGGGGGTAGGGTGACGTGGCCCTGAAGACTTTCCTACCTCCCTCCAAGGGATCAGATCTCAGGAGAGGGTGCTGGGAATGCTTCTGATTTCTCTTGATGTCTCGTTCTCCATGGTTTCCCTCACCCATCTACTTTCAGTTAAGATTTTAAGAATGTGATTAGGGATATGTTCCAGAGGAAGTAGTCCATTGGCAGAGTGGAGAGGGGGAGTGAGGGGAATGGCAAGCAGACAAGCAGAGAAGAGCAGGATCTTAGTGCCCACTGTAGTAGCGGGGAGGCAGATGGCGAATCTCTCTTCCTTCCTTGCCCTAGGTTGCAGAACTTGAGAAGCGCCTAACAGAGCTGGAAGCAACTGTACGCTGTGATCAGGATGCTCAGGTCAGGTGCTCTCCTCTACTTAGTCTGACCCTTGGATCCTGCACCCTCATCCCTAACACCCATAGCATTCCACAGAACCCTGGGAAAGTGAGAAGGTCTTCAGTTATCAGATCAGCCAGTGGGTTGCCAGCTAGAACCAGAAAGGATGGGAGAAGATAGTAATCAGGTGGAGATACAAGAACCACTGATTTCTTTCCTCCTTTTCCCCACCAGAATCCCCTTTCAGCAGGTCTACAGGGAGCCTGTCTTATGGTGAGTATAAGAGGAACCAGATTTTTGGATTACAGAGGGGATATTGAGGTTGGGTTTGCTTGGAGAACTCTTTTAGGGTCCATAGCTATATATTAATTACCTCCAGTGGAATACGGGGTGGCCTCTTCCTAGCCTGATCCTTTCCCCTTTGTGAAGCTTGTCCCATCCCCCACCCCCAGGAGACTGTAGAACTGTTGCAAGCAAAGGTGAACGCCCTGGACCTTGCAGTTTTGGACCAAGTGGAGGCTCGGCTACAGGTATTAGGTGGAGGGCAAACTGGATTACAGGTAGCTTGGGACTTTGGAAGCCCTGGGTGCCCTATCAACCTTAAAATCTGTGCTTCCAGAGTGTCCTGGGAAAGGTGAATGAGATTGCCAAGCATAAAGCTTCCGTAGAAGATGCAGATACACAAAGCAAGGTCAGGAAGAGCCCCCTTCCCCCCATCTTTATACCCTTCCTTGTTCCCTCGTGTTCTCCAAGTCATTCTGGTGGTCTCACCAAAGCCTGAGAGCATCGAATCCCAGGTGCTGTCTTCGTGAGCTCTTACCAGCTGAGATAGGGCAGTGCTTCCCGCCTGCCCCACCCTAGCGAGGGGCTCCGTGTGTACTTCACTCAGCCATCCCCTCCGGGCCCTGTCCTGTCCCCCCAGGTGCACCAGCTATATGAAACCATACAGCGCTGGAGCCCTGTTGCCTCCACCCTTCCTGAGCTGGTGCAGAGACTTGTCACCATCAAGCAGCTGCATGAGCAAGGTGGGAGGCCAGCTGCCAGGCGAGCTAAGAGGAATGGGAAGGTGGGCAGCTTTTGTTTCCTTCCCTCTTGGATTCTAATGCCCCCCATGCCTTTCCTACCTTCCTTTGTAGCCATGCAGTTCGGTCAGCTCCTGACCCACTTGGATACCACACAGCAGATGATTGCTAGCTCCCTCAAGGACAACTCCACCCTCTTGACCCAGGTGTGTGCCCCTTTATTGGTCTGCTGCCTCCCTTCTCTAGCAGGCCGGGTTCTCCAGCTTTGTCTCAATGGATTCTGCCTTGGCCCAGGTCGTAGCGTGATGTGGCAGAGGCTTGGCTTGAGTCTCCACTGTTTTTCAGTAGTTGTGGGACCTTTGACAACTAACTTAACCTGTGAACCTCATCTTAACCATCTGGAAGATTATACCTTCCTCAGGGTTGTATGGATTAGGTGAAATACTGTGGGTGAATTGTTAGGAGTCCAGTGAACCTCAGTTTGTCCTAGAATACCTTCCCTGTTCTCTCTAGTCTCGGCTTAGCTTTCCCCTCCCTGTGTCCTCAGCCGGACGTGCTTATATCCAGAGCACGGCACATTGGGAGGAATACGGCCTCTGAAATGAACAGCGGGCTCCAACCTCGCACTGCTGCTTGGTTTTTTGACGCTGGGCAGCGAGATTCACCTTCACTCTTAGCAGGGCCCAGCACATGGTGCTCGGTTTCTCTTGGAGGCAGTTTTCAGTGCCGGGGGCAGAATTATGGCTGAGAAACCAACACCACAGGTCCATCAAGATAAATGAAAAAATATATAAAGTGTAATATGTTCTGCCTCTAGAGCAGTTTTCTAAACTTTTGAGCCAGTAAAACTCTCATTTCAGTAAAATCTTACCTGTTCCTCATTATATAAAATAGATCAAAAGAATGGTTCTGATTGAGTCCTGCCTGCTTGGCAATCCCTAAACTAGGTCCGTCGTACTCCAAGGGTACTTTGAAAACTGCTACTATAACCTGCCCGCTCTGGGGCCCATAAGCTGTGCTTCCATTCTCTTCTCTTAGAGCATTTCTCAGGTGCTCACCCAAGCAAGCGCCTAGGCCTAGTAAAACATCTCTCTGACTTTCTAGGTGCAGACTACCATGCGTGAGAACCTGTCCACGGTTGAGGGGAACTTTGCCAACATTGACGAACGGATGAAGAAGCTGGGAAAGTGAGCACCTTTAGGAGATGGAGAACAGGGGTAATCCCGACCCCTTTGAACTCTTGTTAACAGCTTACATAGGGTTTCCCCTTAATTATAACCCTCGCATCCCCATACCATTTGACACTGGGGCAAAGGGGTTCTTCTTGCATGTGGGGTTTACACCCCTCCTCTGAGGAATACAGAGTGGTAGCTGGGGGACAGTAGATGGTGGTCTCCCCTCAGGCCCTGGGGACGTGGGCCCCACCACATGCCAGTTCCCGTCCAGTACTGCTTTGCCTGGGGCGGGGAAGGATTGGGTCCTGTCCTCCAGCACAGCTCCCGTGGCTGGCTGCAATACTGTACAACTGTTTCTGACCATTAAATGCTGTTGTCCTCTCTGTGGCCCCTGCTGTGTTTCCTGGGGAAGAGGCAGCATTGAGATGGACCTTCACAGCCTAACAGGCAGCCTCAGCCCCTCTCTGCTGCAAGAGGATTTAAACTGTAACCTGCTCTTACCAAAGAATTAAGGAAAAAATGAGTACAGAGTCAGAGCCAGAGTTTCAAAATATTCTCATCTGTTAAATTAAGAGTGTCTCCCATAGAAAAGCAGTGGAGGCCCCACAGGGCAAGTACAAAACAGAATTAAAACTCCCAAGGGTCTTGTCTTTACAAAAGAAAAGGCAGGAGGCAGCCCCTGGACAGCGGGTCGTGCTGGCCGCTCCGGTTGGACCACGTTGCATAATCCTCAGTCGCATCATCACAACGTCTCTGAGCGTTTCGATGGGGGAGAAGGGGCAGTGTAGTGTGTGTGGGAGGAGAGGCCCAGCGGGCTCTCTGTGCCCCCTTACCCCCTTTTAGATCCCAGAGGAAAGTAGAGGGAAGCTGGCTACACCTTGAAATGAGGCTATGTGTTTCAAACCTGGGGACAGGGGTAAAAGGGGATCTGTGCTTTGAGCAACCTGAGCCAGAGGCAGAGGGGTGTTGGAGGGGGGAGGGGGGAATGCATGATGCTTATTGCTTTGTACCTTTCACTGGGTAGGAGGGCAGCAGCCAACAGTAGCTCACAGGTTTGTAAACTGAGCCTGCTGGCTTCAAGAAGGGAGGCAATGAAGTCGAATTAAATATAAAAGAGTCATTTGTGCAAAAATAACTTAAACAAATAAAAGACCTGGGGAAGGGGGTGTTCCCCTTAGCCTGGTGGGGAGAGGGCCATATACCACCCCCCCAGGCCTTTTCAGTGACATGGCTTTGGGGGGGAGGGGGTGAGCTTCCCTACCCCCTGCAATGGCTCAGGATGGGATTGTAGGGGAAGGGCTTGCATTTGTGCTCTGAGTGGGGAGTAGTGCCCCCACCCACTGTCCACAGGTGCAGGTGGCTGGCAGGGGCTCCCAAGGCTCAGCACTCAGCTCTCCCCAATCAGGGTCAGATCCAGCTCCAGGTATGGCTGCTAAGGGGCCAGTTTCCTCCTCTTGTTTTTGGCAGGACGGCCAGGGCGGGCCCGGGGAGGCAGAGGGACAGCCGCCTATACAGGAGGGGAAGTTGAAAGAAGTGATCAAACAGCTAGGTATCGGGAAGTCTTTTTATTTTCCCCCCGCTCCCTCTAATCCTCTTCTCCTCCTGCCTCATCCCTGACAACCCCCCCCCCACCCCAACCCTGACACACACTTACGCGGGTTGTAGGGCTGGGGTCCAAGGTAACGTCCTGGCGGGAGCTATTGCTGTTCCGGGTAGGGCTGCAATAAGGGCATGGATGATCAGGAATACTTCCCCAAGCACGAGGTGAAGTTGAGAGTTTGGATGGGAAACTTTCTACTTTGGGATCATAAAGGCATAATATCCTTATACATATTTAAATAAGTTTGTGCCTTTTTGAAAGTCAAGCCACTCTAGACATTTCTATAAACCATCAAGAAGTGGGGAAAGGCAAGGACTGTGGTAGGCCCAACACTCACTTGTATTTTCTCCTCCGGCCACGACGAGACTTTCTGACTACCCCTGGGGGCACCTGGGAAAACACCGACTGTATGTGTAGGAAAAGTCAAGGAAAGGAACTGGGTTCCCAGCCTTTCTTCAGAGCCCTTCAGCCCAAACCTCCGTCACCCTGCACTCACCTTAAGGTCCTCAGAATGGGGTTCAGGAGGGGATGGATCCTTGGGCTCAACACCCCCTTCAGCCAGCTCCCCATTATGCTGCCAGTGGTGGGTCCTTCTTGGGGACCGTTCCATTTGTCCATTGAAGCCACCACGTGCCCCCCACTTGAGGGCCAGTCGGCCAGGCTCCCGCCGGCTGCCAGGCTTTCGGCCCCGGCCTGGCCTGGCCTCACCATTAATGCCCCTAAGTCCCCCTCCTCCCCTCCGGCCCCGTTTCCCTGACCCCCTCCCAGTGAGCAGCTCAGGGACTGGGGGGTCGGGAGAACCGTGGGGTGGGGCTAAGGCACTGAGGGGAGGCCGGGCAGGCTCCGGTTCCAGGGCTGAGGTGGGGCTCTGAGGGGGCAGACAAGGGGCTTCTGGCTGCTCTGGAGGAATCTGCAGGCAAAAAATAAAATCTTAGTCCCAAATATGGTTCCTCTGCTACTGTAACTCAAAAAAATCTGCTTCCAGTTTGGGAAAAAATTCTGTCCCTGACACCCCCCACCCCCAACACACACCGTCACCTGGAGACTCTGTAGCAGGCAGGCTAGGGGACTAGAAGCCTCTGAGAGGGGTGGAGGAGCTCCCCCCCCAGGGAGGAGCTGCAGCCCCAGCTGGCCAGAGAGAAGAGGGCCAGGAGGCTGCAGCAGGCTGGGGAGGGCTCCAGGGCTGCTGGTCAGCGAAGACAGATCACCTGTGAGGAGTTGGAAGGTCAGGAGTCTCCCTCCGCAAACCAGTTAGGCTGAGTAGACCCTATTTATCTCTTAGGCTTAACCCCAGGGTCAAAGACTCTTCCCCAAGTCATCTAGCCTCTACTCCCAATTTTTACTGCTTCCTCTTTTCCCCTCTTTCACACCAGTTTTCCCTCAGACTCACCCAGCAGGCTGGCACTCAGCAGAGGGCTAAGGAGTTGGGGGGGTCTCCCTGAGTTGGAGGGGGCCTTGCCCAGAGAGGAGGCCCCCGGGTCAGTAGTTGCCGTGGTGACACTGGAGGTAGGTGGTCCAGGTTGGGGGGCACTCAGGACACAGGGCTAAAGAGAAAGAATGGTTCTAACACTACGTGTGTGAAATATTTCATAAACGTAGAGTACTTTCACATATACAATCTCACTGAAGCCTCACGTGAAGTAGGCCACGCTTATTAAACACAGACCCAGTTCTTGCAGCCATCCTACCCCCAGCCAAGAACTAAGCCCTCCCCAAAGGCCCTGAGGAAGAGCTCAGGCAGGAAACTGAAAGCCTTTGATTCCCAGCTCCCATCCCTGATTCCACCTCTTGTTCTGTCCCACCCACTCACCCCCTATCCTCACCTGGGGGGGTGTCCCCGAGGGGGGATCCAGGCTGGCAGCCAGCAGCGCAGAATTTAAAGCTATGAGGGTGGGGGGGGCTGAAAGTGGGGGGAACAGTAGGGGGGGCAGGTCTCCCAAACCTGAAAATGTCTCCCCACTTGGACCCCCAGCTCCCTCTGCAGATCCCTCCCCATCCCCAGCTGTGGGGCCCAGGGCCAACAGGGGCAGGAAAGAGGCAAGGAGGTTGCTAGGAGGTGCAGAAGGGGGTGGAAGAAGGTCTGAGGGGGGCGGTGGAAGCAGGGAAGCCACCAAAAGCGAAGGCCCTTCAGGCTCGCCTGGGGCCAGGGGAGGGCCAGGTCCTCCTGGTGGGGGTAGCAGGGGCTCAGGGGGAGGTTGTCCCCCTCCCCCAGCCAGCACGCCAAATAAACTGTGGCTGAGCAGTGGAGAAGGTGGGGGCTGCCCCAGACTCAGAGGGAGAGGCAAGGCCCCTAGCATCCCCGGGAAGCCGGCTCCACTCAGCGCCAGGCCCTGCTCAGGACTGGGGAAAGGGAAAGCCTCCCCACCAGCCAGGGGAGGCAGAGGGCAGGCTGGGCCCGCCCCCATCCCGAGCCCTTCAGATGGGCTTTGAAGCACAGGGCTGGGGACCAGGGGGGCTTTGGAGGCAGCTGGTGGGGCAGGGGCACCTGCAAAGAAAAAGAGAAATTCAGCTCAAGGGAGAACCTTTCTCCCAGCATCCAAAGAACCCAACCTTCATGCCTCCAACCCGGAAAACCACCGAAGAGCTCTCTAAACTCCCCTAAACGCTCTGGCTGCCTTTTTCCACCGAGAGGACGAAGGGCTCTTGCACGCTCACGCTCACGTACCTGGCACACTGCTGAGGCCGCCACTGGTGGCCCCCGGGAGGGAGGGCGGAATAGGGCGCCTGGGCTGGGGAGGGCTCCCTGAGGAGAGGGCTGGGGGAGGAGGAAGGTGTGCATCTGACCCCAAAAGGTTAAAGCTTCCATCGGAGTGGGAAGGGCCAGGGGTGGGGAGTCCCAGCAGGGACAGCACAGAAGGGAGAATCGGTTGGGATGGCTCAGGGAGAGGGAAGGGTTGGGGGACGGGAGCAGGGGCCCGAGGACGGCTCCGTCTAGGGGCTTGAGGACCTCCCCCTTCTAGCAATCGCAGTACAGTTGGGGGTCTGCGGGGACGACGCTGAGAGGGCCGGGGTGATGAGGAGTGGGAAGCCGAGGGTGTCTGGGCACGGGGCCTTCGGCCCTGTAAAGTGCTGGGAGGGGGGAGCAGGGGGTGCTGTGCCTTGGCCGCTGCAGAGAGTAGGCTGCTAGCAAGGAAGGGGGGTGCCCCGGGCCCCTCCACCGTGGGGGCCCCTCCTAGGGGTCCCAAGACCAGGGGCAGGTGCATAGTGGCTGAAGACACTGCTGGCTGAGTGGCAGGACCAGGGGGGCCAGGGGGACCGGGGAGGTTATTGCTTGGGGGCAGAGGAGGGGGTGTTAAGGCATCACTACAGTGGAAGAGAGAAGGGTCTGAAGGTGGTGAGGAGGAGGCATGGGGGGCTGGAGAAGAGCCCAGGTCAGGGGGCACCAGGCTGGAGCGGAGGGCGGCTCCCCAGTTGTAGGAGGGAGCGTTGAGGCTGATAGCGGGCGGAGGGGGTGGGGCTGGAGAGGGGGCGTTGCCCCTTGGGAGGAAACAGGGGCTGCTGTTGCCTCCAGAGGGGACAGGGTCAGGAAGCCTTGGTGGTGGGAAGAGCCCCCCAGGGCCTGCTAGAGGGGGGAAGGCCTGTGGAACTGAGGGTGGTTCTGGGGGAAGGGAGCCAGGTCCCCCATTAAGTGGAGTTGTAGGAGGGACTCGACAGGGAGGGCGGGCAGAGGGGGGCCCTGGGGACACAGTGTGGAACATTTGGGGGCTCGCTCCCTCTCCTGCAATAAATGAGAAATGAAGGGTCAGCCTGTGGCTCCCCTTCCAACAACTTTCTTTTGTCTTCTCCATCCCATCTCCCACAAACTCCCAACCTCCCTGTGCCTTCCTCTCCTCAAGCGCTCCCTACTCCACCCCTGTCCTTGCTCCCTCTCATAGAGCTCCTCCCACCATCCCTCTTCCAGGCCCTTAAGTTTTCCTCAGTTGTCTATAAAGTGGAGAAGACTCACCAGGAGAAGAGTGTGAGCAGGTGGTCTCCATGCTGCGGTACAGAGTTGCCATGGCAACGGCTTTCCGCCGGTGGTTGCACAGCTTGGTCATGTCCTCCTCTGATGCGGGCCCCACCCCAGCCCCACCCGGGGTCACCGGGGCCAAAGGGTCAAAGTTGAAAACCTGTAAGGCGGGAGTCATGGACAGGGACCCTGAGAGAGTGGCATCTGGGAGAAGCGCTACCACGGTCAGTGACTTGTATTAGGTCTCTTGGCTTATCCCTGTATTCTCTGGCACCCCTCACCACTCTGACCTTGGGGACATTGAGTGGACACTCCAGACCGCACTTGCAGGTCCCATCGCTGAGGAGGTAGCTCCGGGTTTGCTCCAAGGAAGACAGCTCTGTGCCACTTGGGCTGGGAGAGCACAGGGTCAGAGAGCACGGAGTTAGTTGACACTGAATCAGGAGACGTGCCTAAAGGACAGTTCCTTAGTCAAAGACCTTCCTAGGAAGGGCAGAGAGTAAAAGATGTGGAAAGAGAAAGAGGGAGAACAGATTTAAAGGGCCAGAGATACAGAGAGCAAAAAGGCCGAGAAAGGAAGAACAGAGGAGAGCAATAGGATATCAGAGATCTGGGCGCTGAGAGGAGAGGTGGGAGAGAAAACTCAGGCACTGAACGGCCTGGGGACAGAACTCTGGGAACCCTGAGGATCCATACCTGATATAGAGCACAGCACCCTCTCGAACACAGCGCTGCCAGCCGATGGGGACAGATGTGGCCACAGGGCCCCCAGCTCTGTCTGCTCCACTGCTCTCATTGCCCCCATTCATTGTGTGTAATCAGCTCCCACGTGCCTGATAACACAGACATCCATGTGGGCATTAGGATTAAACTGCACTGGGTACCTGAGGGAGTACTCCAGGAAGGCAAAGATTGTGGGGAGACCCAAAAGAACTCAGGGGCATGGAGAAACCCTGAGAGCTGGGAGAGAAAATGAAGAACTCTCTGCCATCCCGCCGTGGCTACCTGAACATCTCTGCAAACATTGTGGGGTCCAGTCTAAAGCCGGGGCCTCCGGCTTAGCCCACACCTGCAACACAGGAGAGAGAAGGGACTGTCGGAAATCTGCCCAACTCAGAAAAGCACCAAACCCCAGGACACTCTCAAGGGAAAGATCCGTAACCCTACAGGTAAATGCACACACACATCTCAGGGATCTGCTGGCTGAGTCCACAACCATCCTTTCCATGTACAGGCCCTAGGAACCAGAGGATCAAAGCCTCAACTCCCAGGGACCAAGGAAGCAGAGCCCAATCCCTAGACATAAAGGGCAAGGCCCCTTTGTCCCATCAGAGACAGAAGACTTCATCCTGGAGTATGGGCAAATTCCCATAATGCCAGGCCACTAGGAAGTTTCCCAGAGAGTCTGGCCCCCTGCTGTTCCCTACCCCCAGGAAGATCATATAAAAAGTACAGATTGCCCCACAGGTCACCAGGCAATTGCCCAACTGCCCGCTGGGGTGGTACCAACAGAACCCCCCCATGCCTGCTCCATTAGATAATCACTGATCTAGTTGATTTGGATCTTCTTAAGAAAGGTTGGAATCATAGCTCTGTCTCCTCCCAGAATCCTGAGAAGCTCCTGATTTCCCCCCAAGCCTCAGGCAAGGGGATTCAGCACCTCCTACCCCACTGGCTTCAAATTGGCTCCAAGAAGGATTCTCCTCTGATATGTGGGGACGCCCCCCCACCCTCCAAACCTGCAAGTATCCTCTCCAATCTCACCATCGCTCCCACCCCACACTGGCGGCTTCTAAACTTTCCCTCTCATAACAAGGCGCCCTGTCACCCAGCCTGCTTCCCTCAGCCTGGGGAGGAGGGGAAGGCGCACGAAGTAGGAAGGAACTTGGGGAGAGGGCGGGCGGAGGGTGGGCGAAGCACTGAGGGGAAGGAGGTGAAGAAGGCAAAAGTCAAGCAGTGAGAGGGAGAAACGGTGGGGGCAGGTGAGGGCGGGGGAGTGGGGATGGGGCCAGGGAAAGGGGCCGAGAGGACGCGGAGGGGGCAGAGGGTAGGGACTAGAGGGGAGGGGAGGGGGAGGGGCAGGGTGGGGGGGCCGGGCCCTGCACTCACCGCGGCCCATGGTTCGGCCGGCCCCGCCCTGCGCAGTCGCGGCCCAGAGGGTGAGTGGGAGGGAGTGGGAGGAGGGTCGGTGGAGCCCGAGCCTCCGGTACGGCCCCGGCCGGTCCTAGCAGGAAGCGCCGCCGCCGCCGCCGCGGATCACCGAGCGGCCTCCCGCGCATGCGCCATGGGGGCCAGGGGCAGCCCTGGGGATTCCGTTCCCAGAAGGCACCGCGCAGGCTGCTGCCGCCGCCGCCGTCGCTGCCGCCGCCACCGCCGCAGCCGCCGCCGCCGCCGCCGCTGCCCGGACGGGAGAGGGGCGGGGCCGGGCCCCCGCCCAGCGGACAACGACGAGCCAACAGGAGGGGCCGCAGTGCGCATGCGGGAGCGCGCCTACCCCTCCCCCACAACCCCCCATTAATCCCCAAGAGAACAAACACCCCACGCGGCCCCCCCGCCCTCCGCGGAAGGATCTGAGCCTCTTCCCAGGCCACTGGTGGCCAATCCCAGCCTTCCCCGGGGAGGGGCCCCTTCCAAAGCCACAATCTGTTGGGGGAGCCAGGAATGCCAGGTCCGGGAGGGGCCAGCCCCAAAAGATGAAAGTCGCGACTTGCCCTGCCCCGCCCCAAAGGCTTCCCGGGTAGTGTGCTGGGACTTGACCCGCCTCCCCAGGTCAACATGTCACAACACGACCTCAGCCTGTCAAGTCACATGACCTTTGCCTGTCACTGACAACCTGGTCAAGTCTTTGGGCCAGGAGAGACCATATGGTCCAACCCACCCCCCACCCCCATTTACAGAAGGAAATGGAGGTCTGGAGCAACGGAGCAGGCCTGGCCAAGGACCTGTCACTGTCACACCACCACCTAAATCTGCCTTCCAGCCACAACCGACCTTGTGACAGATTCTCAACTCTGGCTGCCCCCACGAGGGTATGACAGTATATATAACCGGCCGCCACATGGCATCTTTTTTCTACCTAATGGCACAAGAAAAATACTTTGCATTCTAAGTGGTGCTTTTCACTTTTGTTTAAGCTGCCTCCAAGTTCATAGTTCTCTCATTTTATCTTCACAGCTCATCTTTTATTTACAAACAACAGTTGAGGCACAGAGAGATTAGGTGGCTGGCCTAGGGATCCCTGTCCCTCAACTGAGGGAGAGTTGAGGCTAGAATCTGGGCTCCTAACAACCCAGTCCACGGCAGTTGTGCGCTCTAGTGCACCCAATGTCCCAGGCAACGAGGCTCTAATGTCGCCCAAGCACCTAGGAGGCAGGAGGCTTGTGCACGGCTCCTCACAGCAGGGAGTCACAGGACTTGCGCGTCCGGTACAGCGAAAAGGGCGGGTCTTGATCTTTTGGTGAAGAGCACCAGAGCACGGTGGGGGGGCAATGATGAGTGGGGAAACAGGGCGAATAGCGTCCACTGGGCAAAGGACATGAATTCTGGCATGCTGAGGGCTCATCAGAAACTTCACCAAGATAAAAGTTTAGGGTGCTTTCCTGCGAGGAGCTGAAAATGACCATCAAAAGTATTCAAGTTCCTCGGCCCCTTCTGGGGGAATTAGGGGAGCTACAAGAGAAGATCTTTTTAAGAATACTCGATAAGACGTTAGGCAGTCCTGTGGCTGGATGCAAACTTTCAAAAGAGATTGGTTTAAAGACCTTGTGCCCATTAATTGGGAGGGAACCGAGTAAAATGGGAGTCCCTTATGGAGAAGGTGCAACGGGGGCTAATGCCAGATGGGCGGAATAAGAGCTCCTGAGGAAGACAAGCTGCACCGAGGCTTCGCAGGCAGCCTAGGGGCAGCCACGGTTGATAGCCGTTGGGGCCGTTGGGAGCCTGGCGCTGGCGCCCCGCCCTCTCCTCTCCGCCACCACCACCCCCCGCACCTCCCACCACCCTAGTAGTCCCCTGCGCGTGCGCGCGGAGACACCGGTTGCCAAACATTGCATCATCCCCGCCCCCCTTTCCTCCCCTCCCCCTCCAGCTCTCCCCTCCGCGCGCGCGCATGACTCACTCACCTCCTCCGCGAAGCCTCGTGACCCAAAGCCACTTCCGGGTCCAACACAACGTCTACCTCCAAGCAGGAGGGAGCGATGGGGGCGGTGCCGCAGGGGCTTCTGAGTGGCGGATGTAAGGGATGAGGCGGGGCCAGAGCTGGCGTGCCGCGTTCTGATTGGTAAGCTTCTGGACCCGCCCCCGAGAGGAGGGCAAGGCCTTATTAAAAGATCAGTGCTCCGAGCTACCGAGGTCAGAAGCTTGAGTCTAAGACACAGAGCGTATCATGTTGAAGATGAGCGGGTGGCAGCCACAGAGCCAAAATCAGAGCCGGAACCTGAGGAGAGAGGCGAGTACTGATCCCCCATCTACTTTTTACCCTCCTATCCTCGGGAACACTGGTTGTCCCCTCAAAGTTAGGGCATCTGCTTTTTAGCATGTGGCCCCACCCCTTCCCCATGAAGTCAGTGACTGTCCGAGGGAGGGATGGGGAGTATCGTTTATTCAGGAATGGTGCTCACAGACCTCTCTTCCTTAGGACGATAACATCACCCCACCCCTGCCCGGAGCATGGGCCTGGCTCTGTGCCGTTGGGCCAGGGGGTCCGGATGCCCTCGGGAGATTTATTCTCTTCCGTTTCTGACCCCAGGCCTCCTCGTTGGGCCTATCCAGTGGGAGGCGGGGCAGCAGGACACTCCCCCACGCCGAGAAGCCTAGGGGAACATGGCTCACGCCACTGCCGCCGCTTCACCATCAGCGAACGCCACTACTCCTACCCCACCCCCAATCCTGTCTCAGCCCCAGCGTCTCAGGGCCAGAGTGGCCACGTCGGTAGCTGGGGCTCCTGGATCCTCCACAGGACAGCCATTGCACACCCTAACGGAGAAGAGAACCTTAAGGAGACTGACTCAAGACTTTGGGAGGAGGGGTGCTAATGGCTGGGGAGCGGAGATGGGTTTTCCCATTCCCCCAGAGTTCCCTGGGCCTCCTGTACAAGAGAGCATCCTGGATTTCTTAAGTGTGGGAAGCCATTTGGGGTCTCCCCAGTGTATGGTCTTTCCCCGGAGATAGGTCCCTGCCTCTTTACCCCTGTCCTGTCTCCAACTAATAATGTGTGTGTGTAACCATTGCATCAGGCCAGCCCCCTGTTTGGCTCTGCAGCCCTCTGGCCTGGGGCGCCACTGCTGATGAAAGCAGCGTCCCACCCACTGGAAGGCAAGGAGGGGTCCCCAGGGGAGGACAGCCCTGAAGAGAAACATTCTGGGCGATATTGCATCTCCAGTCCCTGGGGATAGGCAGCTGCTGCTCTGCCTCTGGGCTTCCTCCTCCCTTCCCTGTAAGAGACTGGTGAGAACTTATCCATTCATTCCTAACAAATTACTTACCATGCACCTACTATGTGCCATGCATTTTAGGCTCAGGATACATCCATGAACAAGAAAATCTCTGCTCTCACAGAGTTTACATTTCAGTGGGAAAAGGTGCACGTGAATACAAAAGTGCCGTGGAGAAAACCAAAACATGGAAGGGTAGCGAATGCTCAGGGTGGGGGTTACAGTTTTACTTTGGGTGGCTAGGGATTCTTTCACTGAGGTGACATTTAAATGAGAGATATAGAAAGAGACAAGGGAGTAAGCCCTGCAGATATGTGGAAGGAAGAACCTTCCAGGAGAAGGAACAAGAACAGAGGTCCTAAGGTGGGAGCATGGAAACAGGAGGCCACCTGGTTGGACTTAAGGAGGGGCAGTGGTCAATGAGAAATCCAGGGCAGGAAAGAAGTAGATTGTGTGAGGTCTGCTAAGCCATTTTAAGGAACTTAGCCTTTAATATTTATGAAATTGGAAGTCATTGAGGGTTTTGAACATAATGACAGGACCTGACTTTTTAAAGGCTCACTCTGGCTGTTTGTTGTGAACAGACTTGGGGAGGGGTGGCAAGAGCAGAAACTGAGTAATCCAACAGAGAGGGTAGTAACTTGATCTAGACTAAAGCAATGCAACTGGGTTTTTGAAGAATGAGTTTAAAAAACTTAGCTGGTGGTTTGAATTGTGGGGTGTGAGAGAGGAATCAAGGACAATACTAAGGCTTTTGGCTTAAGCAAGTAGAGTTGCCATTTACTGAGATGGGGAAGACCATGGACGGGGAAGATGAGCAGAATTTGTCTTTGGACATATGAAGTCCAAGATGCCTTTTAGACATGCAAAAGGTGATTCTAGTAAGCAATTAGGTAACACGTTGGAGGTCCCAGGAAAGATCAAGACTGGAAATGTGCATTTAGAGGATGTCATTGTGTGAATGGAATTAGGAAAATACCACTTGATCTGTTGCCTTCCCTGTAGTCCAGTCCTTACCCTGGCAGGTTTGAGGCCTACCTTGAATTTAGAGAAAGTAGAGTTGGCCATGACTTTTCGATTATGTAATTGGGACCACAAATGTCAGCAACCTAAAAATAAAGGTCAGGCTCTCCTCTGTCCTTGGAAATGGCTGCAGGGACCATTGACTGTCCACACCCTATAAGACAGGAAATGAGGAAAGACTAACAGGAGGCTGGAGATAAAAGGAGCTGCCTGCCTCCCTTCCAAAAATGGCTAACATCTATCTTTGATCTCCACAGTGTTCCAGAAGGAAGTGTATCTTCATACATCACCACACCTGAGAGCAGGTAAACTTCACCATACCTTTCCCAAAACCAGTTCTGACATGCTGCTTAGGGTCCTTGTACTGGGGTCCTAATAAGTTATGAAAACACCTAGAGAAGACAGTAGAGGAGGGTTTGAATCGGAGCAGACTTTTGCTGACAGGCCACATCCATCTTCCTGGCCTGCCCCTAACTAGGTGACCAAATCACTATTCTTAGAGCATGTCCTAATTGAAAGCTGGATGAGTGAGCTGTCAGCCCCAACAAAGATAATTGGTTGGTCTTACCAGACCTCAGTCCCCATCAAGGTTAGACTCACCCAAAGGCCTGCCCACACAGGAGGAGAAAGGAACACAAGATGGTCGGATAATTGCCCCCTGGAAACTACCAACAGTTCCTCAAGAGAGGCTGAGGACTTTTACCAGGATCTCTTAAGAACGTATATTCTAGACCCATGCTTGTTCAAATGCCAGGCGAAAGCAGCAGAGGGAAAATTAGTATAGACCAATTGATTCATTTTAAAGGGCCAAAGAGTAAATATTTTGGATGCTGAGGTCTCCACTCTTAGCATGAAAGCAGCCATTATCAGTATGTAAATAAATGAATGTAGTTATGTTCCAATAAAACTTGATCTGCAAACAGGTACCAGGCCAGTTTGCCAACCTATATAGATGATCTGAATGCTTTGTGGAGTTGTTCTGCTCCCACCCCTGACCCCCCATCCTGAGTATGTCCTTTTCCAGAGCCTGATCCAACTGCAGAGATGGCAGCTGAGTCATTGCCTTTTTCCTTTGGGACACTGGCCAGCTGGGAGCTGGAAGCCTGGTATGAGGACCTGCAAGAGGTGCTGTCCTCAGATGAAAATGGGGGTACCTATGTTTCACCCCCTGGAAACAAGGAGGTGAGAATGCTATGCCTAAAGCTGGGGTGGGGGGGTAATTGCCCTTCCCTTCTCAACTAATACCCACCCTACCTTTCCTCATTCCTTTGAAGGAAGAATCAAAATCCTTCACCACTCTTGACCCTGCCTCTCTGGGTTGGCTGACTGAGGAGCCAGGACCGGCAGAGGTCACGAACACCTCCCAGAGCCCTTGCTCTCCAGATTCCAGTCAGAGCTCCCTGGCTCAGGAGGAAGAAGAGGAAGACCACAGAAGACCCAGGAAACGGAAACAGGGTGGCCAGTCCCCAGCTGGGGCTGGAAAGCAGCGCATCAAGGAGAAAGAACAAGAGAATGAGAGGAAAGTGGCACAGCTAGCTGAAGAGAATGAACGGCTCAAGCAGGAAATCGAACACCTGACCAGGGAAGTAGAGGCGACTCGCCGAGCTCTCATTGACCGAATGGTTAATCTGCACCAAGCATGAACAGTCGGGACCATCGCTTCCCCCTCAGGCCACTACCTACCGTTCACAAAAGTGGCTGCCGACCATCTTCTCCAGTGCCAGTGATGTGACCCTCAACCCCATCTAGTCAGGAGTGGGGGAAGCTTGGGGTAGACAACAGGAAAGGGTCTCAGCATGTATATATAGATTGTTCATTTATTTATTACTGTCCGTATCCATTAAAGTCACTTTCTATGAGCCACGTTCGCACTTTCACTTTTTCTTCTTGCCTTTAGGGGTTTCAAGGGGTTTCCCCTCAGCTAGAGCCAACTGTTTCTTCAGATCCAAGAGCTTAGCCACCTCGGCGGCAACCTGGTTCTTGTCTGCCTTTTGCGCCTTCAATTCTCGGACAATGTTGCCCTAAGAGCAGAGCAGGTGGGGGAAGAACAGTAGTGAGACCAGAAAGAGCCTATTTAGGATTCGGCTTTTCCGCTCTCCCCGGGCCCCCGCTGCGTACCTGTTTTGTCACCTCGTCCGTCAGCACTTGCACCTGCCATGGTGCAGCGGCTGCCACAGCCCCTACAACTGCTGGTGGGGGTGGTGCTCTGGCCTGGAGAAGGACAACAGAGTTAAACCTGCTCTGTAAATATGCCCCCAGCCTCGACTGTCGCCTCACAGCTCAGGGGACGGTAATGACCTTTCACTCCAAGGGCTCTTGCTGCTAGGACAGGGAAGAACAACTCGAAGGAAGGAAGGAGCAGGACCGGAAGATGGAGAGAGTACTGAGTGAGAACTACTTAGGGACACCGAGGAGAGGACACTGTGGCTCTTGCTGGATGACAGCACAGTCTAGCTTTCTCACCTGGTCCCCACCAAAGCGCTGCCTCAAACTTTCAATCTGGTCATTTTCCAGTTTTTGGAATAAGGGACTGACCTGTGAAGAAAGAATTCCATAATCATTCACTGACGAGGCAGAAACTCTGCCAGACTGTGCAGAGGGCCACTCTATCCCCAGTCACTGACATTCAGGAACTCTACATGTTTTAGAAGAGACAAATGTACAAATACCTGCCAATTTCAGTAAAGAATCCAGATAAAGCACTGGCACTCACTCTGAAAGGCCAAAGTATTAATAAGGTCCAAGACTATTTAACTATTTTAAGGATGCTAGGCTGACACAAGGCTATAGAGGTGAACTTACTTTATCCTCTTGTGTCAAAGAGGAAATGGCTATCCTGTATTCTCCCTGCTCACTGCCTTTTGGCATTATGGAGACCAGGGGACCGTGGTGTTTCTTCAAACGTCTACTGTAGACCAGTTAATTTTACGTGCCAGGTCTTGGGTTCTGGCATGAAGAGTGATGATGGCATATGGGCTAGATGATAGTGAGCTTGTGAGCGAATACCAAGGCCTTTCTATCAGAAACAAGCCTAAGTGCAGAGTGGGGAGGAGTGGGGTAGGGGTTCAGAGAACAGCTGTGAGAGTCCTATGTCCAAGTTCTCTGACCTCACCCCAAAGGCTGCATGGCAAGGGCAGGAATGATCAGAGGCCGGCCCGTCCAGCCCTCAGACCTACTGTGCCAATCTGGTGTCCGGCTGGTAAGGTGCACAGGAAGTTTGTGAGCAGGACGCTGCAAGCTGGAGGTGGCAGCTGCAACTGGGCCTGGATGGTGGCACTGACCGTGGGCATGTAAGGCTGCAGCATGACGGACAGCAAGGCAGCGATATTCACTGCCAGGCCTGTCACTGTCCCGGCCCGCTGCCTGGGGAAGAAGAGACAGTCAGACTTTCCAGGAGGACACGGCCCACGGCCACTTTATTCCTGTAGCCAAACTTACCTGTCAGCCTCACTGCCTTTAATCCGCTTCCAAGGTTCATTCACCTGAATGTACTGGTTGCCATGGCGAGAGATGGTGAGGATACTGCGTAGGGCCTCCCGGATCCTGGGAAGGGAGGGGGTGGGCCACGGTGTAAAGTCCCAGAGGGACCAGTATGGGGTTCTCAACATGCCAACAGAGATCACTGAGATGAGACCTGGGTGCAAGATTGCTTACCGAACCTTCTCCAGCAGCTGGTGATAGTGCTGGAGTTCCAGGGTGACATGGGCCAGCAGGCGCCGATCATCAGAAGTAAGCACCATCTCGGGCACGTAACCCCCAAAAAACTTAGACACAAACATCCCAGCTCTTGATGTTAGTAAGGAAAGAGAGGGAAGAGAAAAGAGGAATTATTGCCCAGTCTCCTTCTAGAAATTTGACCTAATTCTCCTAATTCTCCTTTCTCTCAGAACTGACACCTCCTGGCTCCCTCAAGCTAGAAGGCAAAGCTTAACAAATTCTTCTCTCTCTCTCCCCTAAGAATAAGAAACCTGATAAAGTTAGGCAACATCCGTTTCATTTTTAAGAAATCAATATAAAGAACAATCAAGTCGAAATATATGTAACTTGCTACCCAGTACTCTAATACAGACAATCTGTGAAATGCGGTTGACAACCAAATCTGAAAGGGTGGGGAGCCACAGAGTATACTTCTTTAGACTGCAGAAGAGCTGAGATGGAGATCAGTAATGGAGTGTGAGCCTAAAGTAACAAAAATTCCCCAAAGTACAGTAAACGTCTCCTACCCGTACACTAAAATAACCCCTTTCTTCAGCCAAACTTGTCTAATGTAACTTTTTTGCTAGGAGAGAATACATTTCCAATTGTATTTTTTTTTTTTTAAAGATTTTATTTATTTGACAGCACAAGCAGAGGGAGAGAGAGGGAGAAGCAGGCTCCCTGCTGAGCAAGGAGCCCGATGTGGGACTCGAGCCCAGGACCGTGGGATCATGACCCGGGCCGAAGGCAGCCGCTTAACCGACTGAGCCACCCAGGCGTCCCCATTTTCAATTCTATAAAGAACATTAATAAGAAACCAATTTGCAAAAATTCATTTTGTGACCAACTTTGCTAAAAGACACCTGTACAACTGACTTCACCCAAGCAAACATATCCTACTATGTTCTAGGATCAGATACCAATTGATAGAAATCCACTTTCCACATTGTCCTCCCTATCCCTCAGCTCCTGCTCATTCCTGCCTTCTTGGCACCCCCATCTCTTCCATCTCCCACCTAGTGGAGCAGAGCTAGTCTCCACCCCGCCCCGCCCCCAGCTCATCTGCTAACCCTGACCACCTGCCCAAGTCCCACCTGTTGATGAAGTTGCCCAGGTTGTTAAGCAATTCAGAATTATTCTTGAGCAACATGTCTGTCCAGGAGAAAGCACTGTCCTGGCCCTCAGGTCGAATGTAGAGCAGATAGAAGCGCCAGATGTCAGCAGGGATCCCTGTGTCCTGGGCCATGTCACCAAACACTCCCACGCCCCGGCTCTTGGAGAATTTCCCATCCTCATAATTCAGGTACTCTGGACAGAGAAGGAGAATGAGAACCATGTGCTCAAATCACACCTTTCCCTCTCTGACCCACTAACTCTTCCTCTCCCTCAACCTTAACTATGGGTGTCCAGCAACACTTCTTGAGTAGCGGGCCTACGAAGAATTTGGGGATCTCTTCCTCTCCATTTTAGCTTTTTTGTCCTTTGCTTCTACCCATTAGAAAATTTTAGCTTCAGGCTTTTGCTTTCTTAGGCTCTTGTTCCCTTCTTTGGGTTGAGTTCTCATGTTCTAATTACTTCCTATTTCATTTCAACTCCTAACTCAAGATCTAGCACCTCTCCAGGATCTTCTTCCAAATACTGCCTCAGCCCTCTTTCCCTAGGAACTTCCCCATCTTCAGTCTTCCAGGGTACCTGTAGCAATGAGGTGGTTGACCAAGGTATAGTTGTCCTCAGCTCCTAAAGCTGAACAAGGAAAAACTAAGCCGTGGAAGGGAACATTGTCTTTGGCCATGAACTGATACAGGTTCACCTACAGAATACAGTTGGGAAACAAAGGTCCTGAGATCTTCTTCAAAGGCCCAAGAAAGATCAGATACCCAACCCTAACCACCCCAACGCACGCACCCTCCCCACAGACAGGCTAACCAAGAACTCACTTGTTCTGGGTTCTTCCACCATCTCTCCCACTGGTCTGTGTAGTTGGCGGTGATGGACAAGTAGCCAATAGTGGCATCAAACCAGACATAGAATACCTGGAGGGCCAGGAGGAAGGAGTCAGACTAGGATGAAGGAACACTGGGAGAACCTCACCAACCCAGCCTTCAAATGAAGCAAGACATAATCAAGAGTCTATTCTACTAGCTCAGGGTCTCAACCCAAAGGCAGAATAGTATGACATATGAATAAAGCATAGGGTTTTTACCTTGTCCTCAAAGCCTTCTAAGGGTACAGGGGTTCCCCATTTGAGATCTCGGGTTATGCAGCGTGGCTTGAGACCATCCCGAAGCCAAGAACGAATAATGAACCGGGCATTGGGTGTCCAGTCACTGCCAGGCAATGTCTTCCCCAGCCATTCCTCCAGTCGTTTTTCCAGCTGAGATGGCAGAGAAAGTCAGAGAGCTGATTTAGGACAGTCTAATACATGGTTCGCATAAGGCTAAATATGTATAACCTCTTTGGAGTAGTCTGGCAGTATACAATTAAAAGACTCATGACTGGGGCGCCTGGGTGGCCCAGTCGGTTAAGCATCTGCCTCCAGTTCAGGGCATGATCCTGGGGTCCCAGGATTGAGCCCCGCTGAGCAGGGAGCCCGCTTCTCCCTCTGCCTGCCGCTCCCCCTGACTGTGCTCTGTCAAATCAATAAAATCTTTAAAAAAAAAATAAAAAGACTCATGACTTTGACACAGCAATTCCACTGCTAGGAATTTCTGCAATAGAAATAGACAAAAATGGGATGCCTGGGTGGCTCAGTCACTTAAGCAACTGCCTCAGCTTAGGGTCCTGGGATCGAGCCCTGCATTGGGAGCCTGCTTCTCCCTCTGCCTTCTGATCCCCCTGCTTGTGCTCTCTCTGACAAATAAAATCTAAAAAAAAAAACAACAAAAAACAAAATACAAAAAAGTGCATGGATGTGTATGTAAGGAAGTACATGCTCATCATAACAAAAGAATTACAACCAACTCCCATGGTTGAGCAGAGTTTAAAGAAATATGGTTTATCGATACAATTAAATACTTATAAGGCCATTAAAGAGTGAGTTAGATCTGTATGTACTGGACATGTAAAGATCTCCAAGATACATTTATTAAGTAAAGCAAACCACAAAATAATATATCATATAATCCTATCATTATAAAAATAAGTAATAACATACAGATAGAAACTCA